ATAGGATATTTTTAGAAGGAAAAATAAATGCCCCATTAAAATGAACATAAAAATACCATACCAGAGACAGGGCACCCTCCCACCAGTTTCCATCCCTGGAGTGACCATTAAATTAAACAGGCTTCAAAACCAGTGTGGGAGGAGTGGAAGGCATAGGTCAGCACTGGTCTGAAAAGAGCTGGGAAAGAGAACAGAGAATAGAAACTGGCCCAGAGAACCCCACATGCAATCAAAGGGAGTGTGGGTGAAAATCCACAAAGCACACTGTGTGCCTCTTTTGTATCCCGGACCCAGGTGAGTTGGCAAATCCGAGACCTTCCCTCCATGCTCAACCTCCCTGACCTTTCTGTGGCACTCGCACCTTCCTTCTGGGCTCGGCCCCCATGGAGCCTGTCTTCAGGTCCCTCTGTATCCCTGCCTCAAATTTAACGAGTCAAACACCGAGACCCTGACTTTCCTCCCCAAACCTGCTCATATCTCCATTCCCCGTTGGTGAAAGGCACCTTCAGTCCCCCCGGCCAGGACCCTGGGTCATCCTCACACTCCACATCCAGTCTGTCAGTACATCCCATTGGATCTGGCCACATTTCACCACCTCCACCACTTCCGCAGCGCCCCACCCAGTCCGAGCCCCATCCGTTCTCACCTGGATCGCACCACCTTCCTGATTGGACTCCCCACTTCACCCCTGCCCCCTTCAGACCATGGACTTCTGATGTAGAGATCAGGTGGATATTATTATAGGGAAAGTCAGATGATGTCTCTCTCTGCTCAGAGCCTTCCAAAGATTTCCCATCCTACGTTGAGAGGAAACCAAAGCTTTTGTGATGGCCCTTAAGGCCTCTCGTGGTCTAGCACCTCCTAAACGCTCCCGTCTTTTCTCCTCCCAGGGAGCCCCTCTGTCACTGCTCTAGCCACATGGGCTCAGGGCTGCTTCTCACCCCAGCAGGCCTGCGCTCATCACTGGCTGCTGCACTTGCTGTCCCCCTGCCAGGGGTGCTTACCACCAGCTGTCCTCACGGTCACCCCTTCAGTTTCTTCAGTTCTTTACTCATTCTTTGGTCACTCCACCTAAGACTGCAACCGTCTGACATTTGGGTAGTCCCTTTCCCTCCTTATCATCACCGCCCTACTATAGACTAAACTGATTTATCTCATTTGCTATCTGCCCCCCACTAGAACGTATGAATCATGAGATCTCTGGCTCTTTTTTGTTTGCTTTGCTGCTGCATATCTAGCAGAATCTTTAACTGAAGGACTTCTGCCAAGATGGAGGCGTAGGTGGAAGCACTGCGCCTTCTCACACAACCAAGTTTAAAAACAACAAAGTTATAGAAACAAAAACGCAGCCAACCCACAGAAAATTGAACTATATGGAAGTCTGACAACAATGAACCCTTCAGCTAAACCGGTAAGAGGGGCAGAGCCAGCAGCAGAGCGGGGTCGGGCAGGAAAGATCCACCAGACCAACCCGGGTGCATGACCCAGGCACACCGGCAGCTGTGGGCGGATCCCAGGTGTGGAGTAGTGGGCGGACCCACTGAGGGCTGACCACGGTCACACATTCGTGTGCAGATAAACTGGTGAAGGAGCGAGCAGTGAGACAGACCGCGCAAGCCCCAGCAGCAAGAAGCGGCAGAGGGGACTGCTATTGTCCCTCTCTGACCCCGCCCCTACATACAGCATCACAAACCAGCCACCTGGGTGGCCCCACCCTGGTGAACATCTAAGGCGCCTCTCCTCCTACGTAACAGGCACGAACAGATCAAAACATGGCTTAAGAACAACTCAGAGCCCCAGAGCCAATAAATCTAAGTGATGAAGAAATAGCTAAACCTTCAGACGCACAGTTCAAAACACTGGTGATCAGGATGCTCACAGAACTGGTTGATTTTAGTCACAAATTAGAGGAACATGTGAAGGCTAAACTAATTGAAATGAATGGAAATGCACAGGAAACCAATAGTAATGGAAAGAAAACTGGGACTCAAATCAAGGGAGCAGACTAGAAAGAGGAAAAAAGTGACCAAATAGAAAAGGATGAAGAAACAAGAATTCGAAAAAATGAGGAGAGGCTTAAAAACCTTCAGGACATCTTTAAATGTTCCAACATCCGAATTATAGGGGTACTAGAAGGGGAAGAGGAACAGCCACGAGTGGAAAACTTATTTGAACAAATAATAAAGGAGAATTTCCCTAATCTGGCAAAGGAAATAGACTTCCAGGAAATCCAGGAAACTCAGAGAGTCCCAAAGAAGTTGGACCCAAGAAGGAACACACCAAGGCACATCATCATTACATTAGCCAAGATTCAAATGAAGGAGAGAATCCTAGAAGCAGCAAGAGATAAGGGGACAGTCACCTACAAAGAAGTTCCCATCAGACTGTCAGCGGATTTCTCAAAAGAGACCTTCCAGGCAAGAAGGGGCTGGAAAGAAGTATTCCAAGTCATGAAATCCAAAGACCTCCATCCACGATTGCTCTATCCAGCAAAGCTTTCATTTAGAATGGAAGGACAGATAAAGTGCTTCTCAGATAAGATCAAATTCAAGGAGTTCATCATCACCAGGCCCTTGTTATATGAAATGTTAAAGGGACTTACCTAAGAAAAAGAAGATAAAAAATATGAATGGTGAAATGACAGCAAACTCACAGTTATTAACAACCACACCTAAAACAAAAGCAAACTAAGAGGACAGCTAGATCAGGAGCAAACCATAGAAATGAAGATCACATGGAGGGTTAGCAACAGGGGAGTGGGAGAAGGAGAAGGGGGGAGAAGGTACAGAAAATAAGTAGCATAGATGGTAGGTAGAAAATAGATAGGGGGGAGGGCAAGAATAGTATGGGAAATATAGAATCTAAAGAACTTGAGACACGTCATAAACTAAAGGGGAGGGAAGAGTGGGGGAGGGGGTGTGCAGGGTGGAGGGGAATGAAGGGGAAAATAGGACAACTGTAATGGCATAATCAATAAAATATATTAAAAAAGAATCTTTAACTGAATAAATGGAATGAATGAATGAGTGAGTGAATGAAATTATGTGCTAAAATCCACAACTCTCCTGGTTTTTCTGCTCTCAATATGAACGCCACTCACATCTGCGAGCTCATGGGAGCTCTTCAGAGCTGCTTGCCCCTGCCGGACAGACGCTGAACCGTGCTGTGTCCACCCGCAGCACAGCTCTTTCTTCCAATAGCTTAACTCAGTCTCTGCTCCATGGTGAAAAGCATGACAATCCTTTCAAAGTGAGGCAGGGCAGGTGGCTCTGGAAACCTCTGCACCTCCACCTGCTCCTGTGTAAAGTGGGTAGAGTAACAAGGACTTTCATCGGGTGGCTGCGGGGAGGTGAGATAACATGTCCACAGCATACCTCCCTGACACAAAGCAAGTGCTCAGTTAACACTGCTTCCCTTCCCGCCTCCATGCGTTGGTGCCAAGCAGAATGGCCCGATGGCTGCCAGACTCCCGAAGGCTCTCCCTTCAGTCCCTTCCCGAAACTAGCTGCCTTGTCTACTACTATGTAATTTGTTCAGATTTTTCTCTGGTTCAAAAGTCCACACATTCCTTCGAAAGAGGGAATATTTCATTGAGGCCAACCACACAGAGTGAAAAGAATCAGACCAGATGAAATGATTTCACGCGGTCAGCCCCAGCAAACCTGTTTATTTGCAGGAGCTGCTCAGAAGACACGTGAGTGAAGAGGAGGGCCCAGCTCACCAGGAAGCGTGTGGCCAGTTCATCAGCTGAGCACTCTGAACTGCTGCTAGATAAATGCCAAGCCTCACATCCTCTTTCTTGTCTCTGGGCCCGTTGTCAGAGCTGCCCCCTGCCCGAGCCTAGAATGCCCTCTGCCTCTTTCCCCTGCCACTCTTCACCCATCAAACAACATCACACCCTGCAGGCCGCTTAAGGCAAGCCCTCCTTTGAAAAGTCCACTTTGCCTCCTCCCCAAGGAGGCTGAGCTGCATCTGTACTGTGCTCCCACCATATCATCTGCTCACCTCAACTTAGCATGGACCACGTGGAGCGACACCTGCCTGTCTAGCCATCCACTCCCCAGCCCAGGCTGTGCGCCCGGCTGTGACGAGACCCTGTCCTTTCCATCTACATGAACAGTACCTGACACAATGCTTGACACATGATAAGGCACTGCGTAAATGCTTTCTGAGTGACTGAGCAAATGAGGCAGGGAAGAAATGGGTGACTCAGTAACTGCGTGAAGAAACGCAACCTCTACTTGCCCAAGTGGAGGTGTGGGAGGACACGAAGAGACTGGAAAAGCACGCATCTCAGGAACAGAACCAGGATGGCACCCACCCCCGGGCCTTCTATCCCTGGCCCTCTCCCTGCACATACTTGTTCTCCTGGAGCCGCCTCGCCCTTCCTGGAGGCTCCCCTTCCTGTCCTCGTGTCATTGACTCCCAAAGCTGTGGTCCCCAATTCAGTGCCAAACTTAAAGCAAGCTTTTCCTGCCTGTGACATTCCCATTTGAATCTTAACTGCCACCACCTTCTCCCGGAGCGATGTATCTCTGGGTTGGGAAGGGTTCGCTCTCCAGGAACGGACAACTCTCTCACAGGCTGCTCTCTGCAGTTCGACCACCAGAAAGGCAACTCCTGCTGTCACCCGCTGTTCCGCTCAGGTTCTGAAAGGGTTTCAGCATGCTCGGTTAAGGCAAATGCATCCCTAGTCCCATGCAGATGTGGTATTTCACAGTGACAGAAGCAAAATTAAAGTTACTTGCCTTGAAACGTAGCAGAAAAACGTAAAAGCCCCGGGGCTGGATGTGTAGGGCAGGAGTGGGGAACCTCTGGCCTTGGCTCAGCTCTTGGCTCAGCTTTCTTTCAACCTTTGGCAAATAGAACAAACTGTTAGTTGCATTAATGAAGAAAGATACTGATCAGCCAGATAGCACTGTCTGGAAACCATCCTGAGCCAACTGGAAGGCACAAAGGTGGTGGTGCATTTTACAAGCTTGTTCTCGTTAGCCTCCTCCATTTCAGAGTTCATTTTGGCTTTCAACTTTTCAGATCAACTCTCCAGAACCTGCAGAGTTTTAGAGGAAGTCATTTGCTTCCCACTATTGTTTTATATTGTTGACTGAAGTCGTAAAGTCACTAGACCTGAGAATTGGAAAGACCCTTAGAGATTATCTGGTCTAACCCGCTCTTTTAATGGGTGAGGAAACTGTCAGAGGTAATTTTAACTTTGAATTTTATGAGGTCTATTTGTGTTGACAACAAGATTCATTGCTCTGCTTCAGAGACTGCAGAGTTGCAAGGGGAAGTACAAAAAAAGCAGTGTTCTTTCTGATGGGAGGGAGTGAATCGAAGCAGCTTCACTGCAGAACTGGTCGGCCACACTTTCCATCCAGTGTGACCCAGCACCTCCATCCCGTGCGAAGCTGTCAGACGGTGTCAGAAGTTGCAGCTCCTTTCAGAGAGAAAAGCACAGAAAGGTCAGAGGTCACTGTTCATCCCTGAAGGTGATGCAGAATGACAGAAAGGACTAATGATGTGTTCAGTCAGTGGCACCCACTGTTCCCAAAGGGGGTTTCTCTGAGGGGTTCTGGCTGTTTGGGCCTCTTTAAATGAATATGCTCCCACACACTCTAGCTGTCCAGCTCCTCCCATTGAGCAGGGACTGAACGTGGCCAGGCAAGCACTGAAACCAAGGGAGTTTCCCTGGTGGTGAGGCATGGCTTGGGTAGGGCAGCAGTTATGATGTCAGGGTCTGACGCTTGGAATCATTCTGGAAAAGGCACAAAGTTCAGAACTAGAAAACCCTGATTAAAGCCTGTTCACAGACCCAATGGAAAAGATCAGGAATGGAAAACTGGCTTCATGTGAACTCTGGGAGCTGTGTGGAGAAGGGCGGAAGGCAGTCAGGGAGCAGAGCGCCACTGCGGGGCTGATCGCTGCCTCATGTCCAAGGGCGGGGGCAGCGCAGAGACTGTGTCTTTGCCTTTCAGACACGGGTTGCAGGGTAGTGTGGAAATATTATGGTATGCAGATTTTGTGAAAAGTTTTGGATGATTTGAGAATGAAAGCAAGAGGCTGTTGGCCTAGACAGAGTACACAGAAAGTCAAATATAATCCTACTTTTGAGCCATCCAGAATGACAAAGAGTGGGTGGCTTGAGTGGGCAACACTGTTCATCCTGAAAGGACCACTTTTCCATTGTCAGGACAACATTAGCTGAAGCACCTGCCACTGCTAACTCTAAATTCTATTGTCTCAGGTCAGGTGATGAAACCGGTGGCCCCAAATGAGGGCTAAAACTCCGATGGACTGGGCAGCAGGTGGGGCCGTCACACAGCAGTACCAGATAATGCTGGGCGCTCACAGAGAGAGGCCCCTCTGCCCGCTCCCTGGAGCCAGCCCAGAGCAGGACCCCAGGAGCAGCCTGTGGTGTGTGTGAAGTCGGAGCTCCGAGCTGTTGCAGGTGAGCTCCCATGACGTCGCCTGGGTGTGGGCTGTGAGCAGGGCACAGAACCTTTTCTGCGTGTGCTCCGATACTTATCTGATCACTTTCTTCTAGTCCTTAACAGGGCGAATCACACTGGTTAACTTTTCAAATGTTCAACCAAACCCGCATCCCTGGGCTGAAATCCTTTCAGTCATGATACACCAGCTTTTTACATTTTGTTGGATTGATTTGCTAAAATATTGTTAAGGATTTTTATATCTACATCCACGAGGGATTTGGGGACTGTCATTTTCTTTCTTATAATGTCTGTCTGGTTCTGGTATCAGAGTAATAGAGCTTAAAGGATGAGCTGGGAAGTTTCTTCTCTTCAATTTTCTGAGTTTAATTAAAATTAATTTTTTTGCTTTCTTAAATACTTGATGGAAATCATTAGTGATGCCAGCTGAGCCTAGAGTTTTCTTTCTGAATTTGAAGTAAAAATTCAGTCTTTAATGGTAATAGGGCCATATGGGTTATCTACTGGGCTGGCCGAAAAGTCTGGTTTTTTTTCCCAGTAAAACAAAAGACATATTTTTCATTTTCACCAATAACCTGATTGATTTGGATATTTTGAGTATGTTGACTTTCTCCCACTATTGGCTTTAGTGGGTAGAGGCCAGGGGTCCCGCTAACCATCTTCCAATGCGTCAGACAGCCCCACAGCAAAGAATTATTTGGCCAAAATGTCAGTGGGACCAAGAAAGTTCACAACCCATTTATGAGACATTCGATCAGTCACGGCACCTTTTCCATACACTGCACAAGTCTTTTTTCCACATTTTGGTTGTGTTTTTAACCTTTCTTGAAATAACAAAGTATAATATGCTTAAAATGTTGTATATTCCCTTCCATCTTCAATATTAAAATGGTTGCAAACAATTCACTAATTTTAATAAGGCTTTTAAAAATGCACACTGATGCCCTGGCTGGCGTAGCTCAATTGCGCCACCCAACCATACATTGATGTTTCTCTCCTTCTCTTTCTCTTTCCCTTCCTCTCTCTCTGAAAATAAATAAAATATAAAAAAAATGCACACTGATATGACAGCTGTCACAATACAATCTAACAAAATTGTTTCAAATGAAGTTAAAGACAACTAAGTACTACCAGAGCCACTGTATAGAAAAAACTAAATGAACTTTTTGGCCAACCCAATATTAATATTTCTTCTTTTTTAAAAAATATATTTTATCGATCATGCTATTACAGTTGTCCCATTTCCCCCCTTCATTCCCCTCCACCCTACACACCCCCTCCCCCCCACATTCCCCCCCTTTAGTTCATGTCCATGTGCCATACTTGTAAGTTCTTTAACTTCTACATGTCCCATACTATTCTTGCCCTCCCCCTGCCTATTTTCTACCTACTCATCTATGCTACTTATTCCCTGTACCTTTTCCCCCCTCTCTCCTATTCCAATTCCCCTGATGATAACCCTCCATGTCATCTTCATTTCTGTGGTTCTGTTCCTGTTCTAGCTGTTTGCTTAGCTTGCTCTTATTTTTGTTTTAGGTGTGGTTGTTAATAACTGTGAGTTTGCTGTCATTTTACTGTACATGCTTTTTATCTTCTTTTTCTTAGATAAGTCCCTTTAACATTTCATATAATAAGGGCTTGGTGATGATGAACTCCTTGAACTTGCCCTTATTTGAGAAGCAATTTAACTGCCCTTCTATTCTAAATGAAAGCTTTGCTGGATAGAGGAATCTTGGATGTAGGTCCTTGACTTTCATGACATGGAATACTTCTTTCCAGCCCCTTCTTGCCTGCAAGGTCTCTTTTGAGAAATCAGCTGACAGTCTGATGGGAACTCCTTTGTAGGTGACTGTCTCCTTATCTCTCGCTGCTTCAAGGACTCTCTCCTTCATTTTAATCTTGAGAAATGTAATTATGATGTGCCTTGGTGTGTTCCTTCTTGGGTCCACCTTCTTTGGGACTCCCTGAGCTTCCTGGACTTCCTAGAAGTCTATTTCCTTTGCCAGATTGGGGAAGTTCTCCTTTATTATTTCTTCAAATAGCTTTTCCACCGTTGCTCTTCCTTTTCCCCTTCTGGTACCCCTATAATTTGGATATTGGAACGTTTAAAGACGTCCTGGAGGTTTCTAAGTCTCTCCTCATTTTTTTGAATTCTTGTTTCTTCATTCTTTTCAGTTTGGTTGTTTCTTCTTTCTGGTCCACACCATTGATTTGAGTCCCAGTTTCCTTCCTATCACTATTAGTTCCCTACAGATTTTTCTTCATTTCACTTAGCGTAGCCTTCATCTTTTCATCTAATTTGTTACCAAATTCAACCAATTCTGTGAGCATCCTGATTACCAGTGTTTTGAACTGTGTATCTGATAGGTTGGCTATCTCTTCATTGCTTACTTGTATTTTTTCTGGGGCTTTGATCTGTTCTTTGGTTTTGGCCATTTTTTTTTTTTTTTTTGTCTTGAGGTCCTTGTTATGTAGTGAGGGTGGAGCCTTAGGTGTTCACCAGGGCAGAGCAACCCAGTTGCTGGGTTGTGACATTGTATGTGGGGGAGGGGTCCAAGAAGGAACAATGGTTCTTGCTCTACTCTCTGCGGGATTTCAGTCCCTTCCCCCACTTCCCACCAGCAAATTGGGCCCTTCTGGTGCTGATTCCCATGGTTTGTGCATGTTCTAGGTCCCTGTGGGTCTCTCCAACAAACTCTCCTGTGAGGCTGGAGTCTCTTCTGGCACCTCAACCCCAACAGGTGTTTTTTTTTTAAGATTTTATTTATTTATCTTTAGAGGGGAAGGAGAGAAGGAGGGAAACATCAGTGTATGGTTGCCTCTCATGCATCCCCCGCCGGAAACTGGCCTGCAGGGAACCAGCCTACAACCCAGGCATGTGCCCTGACTGGGAATCGAATTGCGATTCTCTGGTTTGCAGACCTGTGCTTAATCCACTGAGCTACAGCAGCCAGGGCCCCACAGGTGTTTTTAATTGGTGTTTTCAGGTTTTATTTCCCGTGCTGACCCTGGGTTGTGCTGTCTTGCTCCCCAGTATCACCTGGTTTATCTGTGCGCAAATGTGGGACCACTTGGTCTGCCAGCCACCTTGTTCACCAAGCCCCTTCACAATCCACTGTCTCACTGGGCCAGCTCACTGCCACCTTGCACACCCAGGGTCCACCCACTGTTGCCTAGTGTGCCCACCAGGGTCCACCAGTCACTGCTTTTTTTTTTGCCGGGACCCCTCTCCGCACTCCCCTCCACCCCTGGCCCCGCAACTCAGCCCCTCCTACTGGTCTGGATGAATGTGTCTACTTTAACTCCATGGTTGTTAGACTTCTATACAGTTCAATTTTCTGCCAGTTCTGGATGTTTTTTTGTTTCTAATTTTTTGTTGTCCTTATTTTGGTTGTGTGAGGAGGCACAATGGGTCTACCTATGGCTCCATCTTGGCCGGAAGTAATGTTTCTTCTTTAATGAGCTTTCATTATGTCGTTCAAGGAATTGTCCATTTAAGTTGCTGAATTTATGTGTGTAGAGTTCTTCATAGTATTCCCTTACTATTCTTTTAATGCCTGTTGAAACTGTAATTACGTCACTTCTTTTTTCTTGATATTAGTAAGTTGTCCTCTTCTTTTGTCTTAACCAATCTGCCCAGAGATTCATCAGTTTTACTGATTTATTTCCAATGGTTTTCTCTTTGATTTGGACATTTAATTTGCTTTACTTTTCCTACCTTTTAAGGTGGAAACTCAGGTCATTAACTTGAGATCTTTCCAACAAATTCCCTCTAAACACTACTTTACCAGCATCTACAATATTCAACATGTTGTGTTTTCATTTTCATTCAGTTCCAAATACTTTCTAATTTCACTCGTTTCTTTGATCCATGAGTTATTTAGAAGTACGTTAGTTCCAAACATTTGGAGGTTTTCCAGGTTATTTTCTCGTTCTGTCTTCTAATTTGATTCCATTATGGTCAGAGAACATACTTCGAATGAGTTGA